TTTTACAAAAAGAGTTTCATTAAGGACGGGCTGTGGGAAAAGGGCTCATCTTTGCTGAGCCCTAAAGACATTTGATTGGCTGTTGGGTTACTATAGTTGTAAGCGGTGACAACAGTGATTGGATAAGCGAGCAAGCCGCAAAGTTGACCACTCTGCGTTCATTGCGTGCCTTCATAACGGTTTCAACTGATTATTTCATTGTAGAGAAACTTTCATTTACTTTGGGATAGAGTTGGGGGTGGTGGGTGGGAAGGGGGTAGGGGCTCAAGCCCGTGAGCCCTTCACTACCCACCGCCACTGGAGGCTTCACAGCACACCACAAGACCCCCCTGTACCATATACAGGGCAATCTGACCGCCACAAGGTACAGGTCGGAAATCCTGCGTCCCCTTGCTGTTCCTCTCCTGGGGCAGATTAGACCCCAGGCTGTACGGCAGGACGATAACGCCACGCCACATTAGGCACGCATCATGGGGGACTTCCTGCAGCAGCGAGCTGTCACCTGCATGGACTGACCAGCTTGTAGTCCGGATTCAAACCCAGTAGAGAACATTTGGGATCACATTGACCGGTGGATAAAGGACAACCACCCTCCAGCACAAAACCTTCAACAACTCTTGGGCTGCCTCGTCCAGGAGTGCATAACCTACCGCAACAAGTTCTCCGAAGGCATGTCCTGTCCATGCATCGACGCTGTGCTGGGTGTTTGATCAAACGGAGTGGCTACACCCACTATTGACAATGTTCATGAAAAGCTATAGCTGTTCAGACTTTGGAAATCCGACAAATGTGATTTAAACTCATTTTACATGAACTTCTCCTTTGTTTGTTTTTAAATCTGAAATTGTACTCACACAATCCAAAGAATCGAAAGCATCTTATTTAAAGAAAATGAATAAATTCGGTTAAACTGTTCTTCAGTTATCTTTTTTCTAATTTTTGTTCCTTGACTTTTTGTGCGAGTTTGTCTCACAGTGATCTCTCCTCGATTTCGTGCCAAGTCAGCACAGAACCAGCACCGTCACTATCACTGCCGATAACATGAACATATTCCATTATACCATAACCTCAGCTTGACCTGTCATAGGCCTATTACCTGGTCCTGATCCGTCTTAACTTTCCCCACATAGGTTTATCGGTCTTGGGCAGAGGTCACCAAATTTTCTTCAAAGAGGGTAAGAAAACTGACAGAATGCCGAACACACCTGTTTTTGTTGTTTTTTTTCGATGCTACACACTGTATACACAATGTGTAGCTTTTGATAACAGGCATCAAGAAGTTTGATTTTTTTCCCGTATTTTTCAGTTTAGCGGTAAGCCGATTTTTAAGTGCTGTAAAATGAAAACTAAAGTATATTACCAAAAATTCCTCAAGACAACTTTTAGATCTGTATTTTCCTATGTACATGCCAAATTAAAAGTGCATGAAATAAAAACCATCAAGTCAAACCAAGTGAATGTTGTCTCTTATAATGATATAGTATTGTTTTTTGGTTAAATTCATTCAGGATCAAAAAGTATCTAAAAACTATAATATTGTATTTCAGGTCAATATTTTATCCACAGAGCGATAGATTGATAAGCTATAGCATATAACATCATATCATAGAAATTGTGAGGAGGTTTCGGGAGGTTTCGGAAGGTTTTGGGTGGTTTCGATGGTTTGTGTGTGGTTTCGGCTGGTTTTGGGAGGTTTCGGTCTTTGTTGGGAGGTTCCAGTATAAACGCCG